ATCCTGTCCATCCCATTCCACAGGGCAAAACTCCATCCTGTCCATCCCATTCCAGGGTTAAAACTCCACCCTGTCCATCCCATCCCAAGGGGATGGAATTCCATCCTGTCCATCTCATTCCAGGGATTGGAATTTCACTCTGTCCATCCCATCCCATCCCATCCCATCCCATCCCATCCCATCCTAAGGGATGGAACTCCACCCTGTCCATCCCAAACTCCACCCTGACCAGCAGAAACTCCTCCAAAGACACAGAGGGGAACTAAAACCAGCTCTTAGCAAACCAAGGTGCACCTGACACCCAGACTGAGGTGTTCCAGTTCTCTGTGAGCAAGGCTAGTCAGGGAACATCTCCCCAGAATTACTCAGTATAACCTGTGTGTATCCCAAGACAGATCCAGGGAAAAAGTCCTGCCTGGGCCAAGGGAGAAAGAAGCCCCAGAATGTTCAGGAGCCCTACCTGAGTCCTTGGCTTTTTTGGCAGCATCTGAGATATAATCCTGTGAGCGCCCATCAGTGAAGACAATCCCCACCTTGGGGACGCCGGGCCGGGCTCCGTTGATGACGGAGAAGGAGCTGTCAACGAGGTACTTGAGAGCCTGGCCTGTCATGGTGCCCTTCTCCATGTAGGACATTTTCTTCACTGCTGCTTTGATGTCCTTCTTGCTCTTGAACTGGCCCAGAGGGAACTCCTGCCGGACGGAGCTGGAGTACTGCACCAGCCCCACCTGCGCCTGCTTGTCCGACACCTCCAGAGAATCCACGATCTGGTTGATGAATTTCTTCACCAGCTCAAAGTTCTCAGGCCTCACACTCTTGGAGCCATCGATGAGGAACACAAGATCCAGAGCAGACCCCAAGCCACCATTGCAAGCTTAGGGAAAACAGGAGAAGAGGGCAGAAGAAAACAGCAGCAAAGGCCTCAATAAACCATGTAGGAAAATAGAACCCTAAGGAAATGGGTTTTCCCTGAGGAAATGGGGTTAATCAATGAAAACCCAACAGGAGAGCACAACACTGTTTTGAAAGTGATTCTTTCAGAAGAAGGGTTTCCCTTTCTGCCTTCCCTGAGCAGAACATCCCAGTGCTGTCACCGCTGTCCCGTCAGGGCCCCCTCACATACCGGTGCAGGTCTTGCCGTCGCTGTTGAGGCTGAAGCCGTCCCTGCAGGCGCACCTGTAGGCCCCTGGGGTGCTGACACACACCTGCTCACAGTCGTGGTCCCCCGTGGCACACAGGTCAGACACCACTGCAAGGAGAGGAGGGGGTGGCTTCAAGCAGGGGTCTCCCCACCCACACCCGGCTCTGCACAGCCCCACATTGGCCCCATAACTAAATCTGCTTTGCAATGGGGCACAGCTCACTGAGCCTGGACAGTGCTGAGGCAGAGTCTGAGGCTGGAAATGGGGCTGTGTGTTCTGTGCCCACCTGTCAGAGCTGGGGCAGTTCTCTGCTGCTCTTGGGGCAGTTTTCTTGATCTCTCCCACAGCCAATCCTCCCTCCAGGAGATCTCTGCTCTCCATGGCCACTGAGTGTCCCTGCAGGGCTGATCCAATTCCAGCATCCCATGGGCAGATGCTGCGCCCAGGGCAGTAGCCAAGCATTCCTACCTGGATCCAATCTGAGCCTGGCACAGCACAGCAGCCTTTGCCCCCTGCATTGCCAGAGGAGCAGCTTTCTGCTGCCCTGCATGGCCAGAGGGAGCCCAGGCCCATCTGCAGCAGCCCTGGAGCTGCAGAGGAAAACTCCCCCCTTGTGCAGGATCCCTGCTGCAGCAGAGCCACAGCTGGCACTGCAGGAGGGCTGAGCCCCCATGGGATGGGGCTGTGCCACAGCCTGAGCCACAGCGTGCCAGGGCCTGCTCCCACTCTGGCAGGGCTTTGTTTGTACTATTGCATTTGTATTTTTAATTTTCCTAATAAAGAACTGTTATACTTATTCCCATATCTTTGCCTGAGAGCCCCTTAATTTCAAAATGATAATAATTCAGAGGGATGGGGTTTGTATTTTCCATTTCAGGGGAGGCTCCTGCCTTGCTCAGCAGACACCTGGCTGTTCAAACCCAGACAGACATAAGACAAGGAAGAAATTCCCACAAGTCTTGATGCTCCAAGGCACAGCCAGGACTGGAAATCTTCCCTGAGGGCAAACCCAGCTGGGTGTGGGGCAAATTACAGCACAGCTCACTCTGCAAAGCTCCAGGGTGAGGTTTGGGTCCCAGCTGCCCCCCAGGCTGGCCAGTACCCAATTTTTGCAGCTCTGCAGTGCAATCCTGAGCAGGGAGCTCAGCCGCCCTTCCTGGACAGCATTCATGTGTGAACACTTCTGGGATTCACCTCAGAGCTCTCTCTGCATGTGCAGCTCTCAGATCCCTGCTCTTCAAACCCTCCTGCTGCCCATCCTGCCCTGCTGTGGCTCCTGGGATGCTGAGCAAGCAGCAGCTGAGTGGCAGCACTGGGAGCCAGTGGCGCTGGGGGGTGACAGCGCTGTCACACTGAGGATGGCAAACAAACTCCAGAGCAAACAGGGCTGGGGAGACAAATTCAGCTACAAATGCCAGAGAAAATGTACAGAAATCCAGGCACTGGGTTGGAGTGAATGGATGGGAGGTGGAGCAGAGTCTTTCTGAGTTCAGGTTTGTTATTTTGAGCCATTTGTGTTCTGCTCTACTCATCTTTTGTACATTTTTTTGGCCTTTCCACTTCCCGTGGCTGTGCCAGCACTGTTCCAGCCCAGATAATTGGGAATTTCAGTGCCCCTGGAACTGCCTGTAGTTCAGTGCTCTGGGTAATCTCACCACAGGCTGGAGCACCAAGGGTTTCCCGTGTCCCCATGAGTTTACTGGGCACTGTGGGAAGCACTTTTCCTTGCTGTCAGTCCCACAGATCCTGTGCTGTGCCTGAGCAGGGGGTCTGGGTCCATCCCTGGCATGGTTTAGGGCAGCTGCACATGCAGAGCAGGGTAACAGGGACTTGGGCATCCCCCCAGAGCTGTCCTCTGCTCCCTGCAGCAATCCTGAGTGCTTTCCCATGAGAAGAGCTTTGCCATCTGCACAGGGAGGCACAGGAAGGATTTTCCCCACAACTTCAAACCATGGGGTGAGGCCTTGGCACCGCTGCTGCCTCTCAGTCCCAGGGCAGCCAATACAAACTCCACAAATACTCATGGCCTGGATTCCATTCCTCAAATTCTGTCTCTCTCTCTCCCTTTGCCTGAGATGTTTGTTCCCTCTGCCATGAGCTGCTGCTGCAGTGACACCTGGTAATGCCTGACTCATTCTGTGCTATCACCTGAGGATAATCCACGGCTCACTCTGTAGCTGAAATTTCCCTCCTTTCCACAGAGGAGCCAAATTTCCATGACAAAAAGCTGTTCCCCTTCATCACTTTCAGCCTTGGAGCTGGACCAGGAGATTTTACACCTGTCAGAAACTGGCAGATCTCCAGGCCCAGCCGTGTGTGTTTGGAGTTCCAGGTAGATCACACCTTTCAGGAAGTGTTGCCACGCGTTTTTCATTCCGGGGAAAGGCCCCTAGGCCTCTCCTGCTGACAGAAAAGGGGAATTTATGGCCCATTCCTGCTGCCTTGGGGCACATTTGGAAGCAATAAAACATGCCCAGTCCTTCAGCAGCTCCTGTAGGAGCAAAGCTGCATTTGTAGGATGGTGTTTGTAGGGTGGTGTTTGTAGGGTGGTGTTTGTAGGGTGGTGTTTGTAGGATGGTGTTTGGAGGATGCTGTTTTGTAGGATATTGTTTTTGTAGGATGGGGTTTGGAGGACTGAGTTTGGAAGATGGTGGTTTTATAGGATGGTGGCTTTATAGGATGCTATTTGTACAATGTTGTTTGTGGTGTGGTGTTTGTAGGGTGCTGTTTGGAGGATGCTGTTTTTATAGGATGGTGGTTTTAGAGTGCTGTTTTCATAGGATGGCAGTTTTAGGATGCTGTTTTTATAAGATTTTGGTTTTAGGATGGTGTTTTTAGGATGCTCAGGCTCCTTTGATGTGCTGTGCAGACAGGAATTAGATCCTGCTCCAGCCAGGAGAGATTTGTGCCCCACAAGGCTTCCAACCCCAAAAGCAGCTTTAGGCAAAGGCAGCTCAGCCTCTGACAGGAACTGGGACCACCCTAGCTGAACTGGTAATTATAGTGGCAATGCTGGTGGGGGGAAATACAAAACAAATTCTCTCCACTGCCCCAAAAGGGGTGTGATTTCAGTGATCTAAACCCCTCTTCTCCAGGTTGTTTTCCAGTGCCCCCAGGAGTGTGTGGATTGTGCTTACAAACTCTCTAGTGCCAGTGAAATGTGGAGATTTCTTTAACCAAAACCTGAAATTCCCTGAACAAAACCCTGCAGTTTTGGAAAGGCAACTTCAAAGAGCCCCTGATTCCCACAGGGCTTTGAACCTGCAGGGAAGCAAGGAAGCAGAGGGGTGAAGGATGGGCACAGGTACAGCTCCCATGGGAAAGGCTGGAGCAGGACTTTGGAAAAGGTTCTGGAGGGACAGGACCCAGGCAATGGCTCTCCACTAGCAGAGGGCAGGGATGGATGGGATACTGGGAAGGAATCCTGGCTGGGCAGGCCCTGGCACCAGGTGAAGGCTCCAGGGAGAGCTGAGAGCCCTTGCAGGGCCTGAAGGGGCTCCAGGAGAGCTGCAGAGGGACTGGGGACAAGGATGGAGGGACAGGAGCCAGGGAATGGCTCCCAGTGCCAGAGGAATGGCAGGGCTGGATGGGATCTTGGCA